CCCACTGAAGGCCACAGTTGGACTCCATCGGGACCACACTCACTGCCACTGAGACCTACCTGAGGAGCTGGTGCCCTTGGGGCAGTGTCTGCAGCCAAGTCACACACTGGCCCCCATGGCCATCCAGGGTGACAACCGCCCTCCGTGTCTGCAGGCTCCAGATGTGCACCAGCCCACTCAGGGACCTGTTCAGACAAGTGCAGGCACAGGGTCAGGAGGAGGTGTCGGAGAAGGGCAGACATGCCTAGCATGCTCTACAGGGCCAGCCAAGAGACCACGCCACTGGTGGACCCGGTGTTCCAGCTGCTCGAGTTTTTAGCTTAGGTGACAGCTCTAAATGTGAACTAAGGGTAAAAGTGGCACATGCTCCTCTTCCAAGGGGACCGTCAGGAGTCTCTGAGGACCCCCCAGGTAGAGCCTGCTTCTCCACAGAGGGAGAGAGGGCCACTGTTAACAGTGCACCTATAACAGAGAGGGCATGTTTCCTGTCTCCTCCGAGGGGGCAAGGCCCAAGGGGACAGAAAGTAAAGTGGGCTCTAAGAGCACAGTGCACCTGGATGATGGGCAGCCTGAGCCCCTCACTAGGAGCCCCAAACAAACACTAGGCTCATCGCTAACCCCCACTCCAGACTTCACCCTGGGCTAGCCCCTGGGGACAGGTTGACAGCAGCTACTCACCCTGAGAGGAGGAGTGGGTGTCCCTGGCCCTGGGCTCCTTCCCAGAAATGTAGTGCATGCACCGCTGACTGGGTCCCTCGGAGGACGAACTGGGGGTCTGGCGGCGGGGGTGGCAAGGGCAGTTGGGCTGCCATGCTAGATGGAGGTGCAGTCGCCTGGGGACTGAGAGAGGGCATGTGAGTGACCCAACTGTCCCCATTCAGGAAGGTAGCAGGAGGCCTCCCTGGATACAGTCCACCCCTTCACCCCCTTTTCCATCTGTCTCTTGGCCTCTGCACCCAAGTGGGACCATCCTAGTCCCAACGTGCACCACCCTAGTCCCACAGCAGTGCCAAACTGGGGGTCTGGCGGCGGGGGTGGCAAGGGCAGTTGAGCTGCCATGCTAGATGGAGGTGCAGTCGCCTGGGGACTGAGAGAGGGCATGTGAGTGACCCAACTGTCCCCCTTCAGGAAGGTAGCAGGAGGCCTCCCTGGATACAGTCCACCCCTTTATCCCCTTTTCCATCTGTCTCTTGGCCTCTGCCCCCAAGTGGGACCATCCTAGTCCCAACGTGCGCCACCCTAGTCCCGCAGCAGTGTGTACCCTTCTTTGGCCATGCTTGCCCAGCACAGAGCCCTCCACAAGCCTTCAGGAATTCCAGTCCACCCCCTAGCTGCTAGCTGCACCTTCTGGCTCCCTGCATTCCACTGGCCACCCAGCGCTGTCCCACTTGGGCTGGAGCAGGCCTGTCCTTGTCTGGGCTGTATATCACTCGTCCTGCCTTCCTCCAGCTTCTCCCTCAGGAAGCCCACCCCAACTAGCCTTCCCAGCAAATTCCGAGTGTGCAGGGTCCTCGGGTACCAGAGGAGCAAGCAGGACCAGAAGATGGTCCTCACATGTCCTGCAAATGCTGCCCCATGATGGGTCCTGGGTCTAAACACCCACAATTGCTCATCGATATTACCACCCTTGAAGGAGGCAGACCCTTTATTGTTGGAAAAGGAACAGTCTAGTCAGCTGCCCTCGACCCCTCAGGCTCAGGCCCGAGTGCTCCGGAGTCTGCGTGCTTCCATCAAGGGGCAGAGGGGCCGGCGCAGCATGTAGGCAAGGGGCAAGGGACCAAATCACTTTGGGATCCACCCAGTGCCCCTACTAAGCCTACCCCAACCACCCAACCCTGCAGAGTCCCTGGAGGCCTGTGTCTTCCTCTCATGCCACCTCAGTTCCACAGGCAGCCAGAGACTCAACAGTGCAGGGGTGGCTGCTCTCAGCATGAGTGGGGGTGGGGGTATAGAATCAGAAGTGACTGGCTCCAACAGCCAGAGGGCACATATGTCTGCCCCGGGCTGGATTGAGGGTGCTAGGCTTTGGAACAGCTCTCAACCTACCCACTTCCAGCCTGCATATAAAACAGGGAGGAGGCCATGTACCCAACCGCTATGGCGGCCACAGCCACCAGAGGAGCTGGGGCAAGTAAAACTGGGGCAAAGGAGACAGGAAAGGTTCCTCCAGGAGGGAGCCTTGGCCAGGAGGCTGATGCCAGGGGCTGAAGGGGATTCTAGGCCTAGGATGAAGGCCCACACAGGAGGGGGCTGCAGGACAAGGCTGGGCACACACATGGGTACAGAGGCAGGAGAGGCGTGGGTTTCTCAAATGGGTGCATGTCTGGTGTACCACTTCAGCCACGCCCTCAAACGCCAAGCCCTGTACCTCCCCTCCTTAAAAGCATCCCAAGCCCTTTCCTTCTAGTCTATTTTCAAAAGAGAGCCAGGAGTAGTCTGAATGGAACCAAAGGTTCAAAACACCTAAGAAATGCCACTGTTGAAGTGGCTGAGGTCCCTGCTGGCGGCCCTTGGGGCTCCAGGTCACCAGAGAGCAGAGGAAGAGCAGCGACCAGAGCCTGGAGACTACTGGGGCCTGAACAGGGAGCAGGGAGGATGAGCCCAGAGACCTGGAGGGAGGCCGCTACCAGCACCCATGTCCAAATGAGGTCTGGCCACCATGGCCAGTGGGAGTAGGATTGGGTCCTAGATCTTAATGACCCAGAGCAGACACTACAGAGTGAGGGCCAGGGCCAGGAAGGGGCAGCCCCAGTCTCTGACTCTAAGGTGGATGGTCACCCCTACTGGCCATTTTACTACTAGATCTTGCCTCTGTCACAGAGTTTCAAAGAGAAGGAGTGGGTATCTGGGAACATGCTTTACAAATGCCAAGTCGGTGTCTGTGTCTCTCTGTCTGTCTGTCTGTCTGTCTATCTGTCACTCTCTCTCTTTCTCTGTCTCTCTCTCTTTCTCTCTCTCTCAGGGTTTTCAGCCTAACAACCTTTTTCACCTTTGGCTCTTCCCAAAGGTCAACTGACTCTTCCCAAACACAAGGATGGCCTCTTGTGGGGAGCAAAGGGACCCAACCCCATGCTGCTCCATGACCCATGGCCTCTGTCCCGGCATGAGACAGGTAAGCCCCCTGAAGATGCTACAGGCCAGGGCCACAAATCCTGCAGTGGCTACCCTTGGACAGGCTAGCCTGACAGACAAGTTCAGAGGAGCAGTTTTTGGGTCCTCAGAAGTCACAGCTGGTCGAAGCTGTGTCTGCCCTGTCAGAACAGCTGGCCAGAGATGAGTACAGGACTGAAGGGCCCCGGATTCAGAGAAAACCAAGAATGCAGATCCTGCTAAAGTACCTCAGCCCAGTAGAAAAGCCCCGGTCCAGGTTGAGGGGGTACCCCACCACTCAGTCTGAGAGACCACCTTTGCAGGTCTCCCACTGTGCAGTCCTGACGTGCACACACACACAGTGTTCGTGCCTGCTCATGGACACACATGTGCTCACACACACAAACACACACACAAACACACACACGCATCGCCAGCTGAAGCCCAGCCCACACTTGCCACCTGCCTGGGGCCTGATGGAAGTTTCCAGAACCTTACTAGTACAAGGCTCTCTCGGAGGTGATGAAATCAAGTTCTCCTCTATTGTTTCCCCAGAACTGCAGGGAACAAACCCGTCATGTTGTTACAACAACCGAAATGCTCAGGCCAAAATGATGCATCGGCAATTAAGGGTTCCGTCATTTCGAGCAATTAAAATAAGTGCTTTATTTGAAAACTAATTAATTCTAGCTGCATATTTTTCTCATGACAATATTCTATGATTACTTGATTTATGACATCTAATTATTCTTTATTAATCTAATTGAAAATAATCGCATTACCCTATCTCCCCTGGCACCCAGCCCCTGGAGCGGAGGCTGCAGCCCCTTGCGCAAGGCCGATGTGATACCGGCCACCACCCCCTTTCCCTGTTCTATCACTGTCTCTTCCTCCTGGAGGGCAAAGGAACACGAAACTTAATCCACCGTGTACAACTTCGTATTCTGCCTGGTCCTCGACATGTCAAAGTGAGACGCATTCTTTTAAAAATTAAATAGACAATTTGACATAATTTGTACAACTCTGACAGCTTTTTCAACTGATGCTACAAATGCCCCCCAAAGCCTTATAGGCCCTCGGCCTGCAGACAGACTACAACAGCATTCCCCTCCATCCCCTCAGCAGCAGCAGCCTGGCAAGCCTCGGGGCTATCCCCATAGAGAGGGTACCTCAGCCTTCCCCCAGGTGTGGGGAGTGCACCTGGCACTCGCCATCCCGTCAAAGTCACATGCCTCAGTCAGACCAAGCAGCCACAGGGATCTGAGGACACCCCTCCTGGTAGAGGTAGGAGCTTGTACACAAATGGCCAGTTACTGGCAGAGACCTGTGCAATCTATGGGGGGCCACATCAGCAGACAGAACCCAGGCAATTAGAGAGGCAGAGGAGGCAGGGCCAGGGGAGGGGCTGGTGCCCAGAGACTACAGGTCGCCACCCTACGTTCTTGGGCTACTCGGAGTTCATACCTCTGTGCGTGCCACAGCCTGACCCATGAACATGTCACAGGTCTGTCCAGGTACCTGCCCAGTGCTCAGTCATGGAACCTGTTCCTTTTACTGAACAGGACCACTGTTCCCTAAAGAGGCCTAGAAATCAAGAAAGAAGTGAGCCAACATGGGGGAGCTGCCACCCAGAAATGTGGGGAACTGCCCCTGTCTGCCCTAGCCCACCAGGTCCTGCCTCACTAACGGTGTGTGCATGAGAGGGGCCTGCATGAGTGCCAGGCAAGGGCACAGCACCAGCTCCAGCAGCCCTACGAGGCACCTGAGCATTCCATAACCAGCACAGACTAGGGAGGGGCCACTTTATAGCAAGATGAAAGTCTTGATTGGTCCTCCCCACAAAAACCAAATAAAAATGCTGATAAAATAAAAAAACTAAATCTTTGATACATCACTAAATTGGTTTTTAAAAAGCCTGGAACCTTCAGAGGCCAAACACTACAAAAAAGTCAAACCCAGTGAGGTCTGTGGAGTCTGCAGCTGGCTCCTCCCCTGAGGGCATTTGCTGTACTAGTGACCTGGAGTTCCAGCAAGACAAAACTAGGGCCCTCCCAAGGTGGGTAATCTCAAAGCAGCATCCCCATAAAGATGAGACCCCACAGGGCTATGTGCTCAGTGTTAGGTTTAACCAGAACTAAAGCTGCATCCAGAGGTGCCAGAATGAAACTAGTCCTCAGTTTTCAGCCCTAATTCATAACACCATGGGAGGTCCCCAAAACTTCAGCCTGTGAAGTCTCTCAGAAGGAGCCCACCTTCAACTCAGGCCTCAACAAATCCACAGATTAGATAAAGCCCTGTGAAATTTGAGCTCATAGTCAAAATTCAGAAAAACAAATAAATGTGGCACCATGAGTGAGAACCATCAGAAACAACAGGAAGCAGAACTAGACCCCCAGAGCAAAGCATTCAGGTGTATAAAATGAGACTGCTTAATTGTTTTAAAGAAATTATTTTAAAAAAAAGGGAACTGAACTACAAGTAGAGAGCAAGAAACTATAAAACTCACCACTCCGATTTGAAAAAGGGCCCAACTGGGTGAAAGGTTATTGGGAAACAGGTGATTTGCGTAATACCAAGGTATTACTCTACAGATTATTTACTAATCACAAAATAAAAAGTTTCCATTACAATGGAGACATACGGCTGTTACCACCTTTACCATCTGATCAAAACTGGCACTGCCAATAGTAAATTGACATCCCTTATCTCCTGAGTTGACACAAGAAGACATGATGCCATCCTGGTACATC